GAGTATCAGGGCAAGACTATTCAAAAAATTACCAAAACAATTCAGTAAAAGTTTTATTATTTATCACATCTGAAAGTCCCACTTTTTTTTTTTTTAGATTTTAATTGAAAAATGTCACATTCAAAATAATTTTAACTGTCGGCAATCATAACTATAACTTTTATAGTTGCTGAAAATATAATTCCTCTACCAAACTTTCAGTTTGTATTACCAAAAATACCAGGAAAAGCCCCTATACCATAGACCATTGAAACCCTTCTCCACCTAAGGGAGCCTTTATTTGAAAATAAACCACTGATTTCTTGAAAATTTCTGCATTGCAAAAGCATAATTGTGTATTCAGCCTTTACCTGGACAGCCTCTCTATAGAGAGTTTTCCAGCTTGTTACAGAATGGCAGTCACCTTATCTGCAGAGTCTAAGCAGAAGCACCACAAGCAGCCGAAGGGCAAGATGTGCCTGACAGCTTTTTTTGCCAAGAGAAGAAAAAGAAAAAATAGCCCCAAAGAGCTAAGTATCAGCTGAAGTGATAAGCAGTGCATTAGTACATTATTGGAAAAAGAAACAAATTACCTGATTAGTTTCTAATGTATTGCCTTCCTCTAGAGAAAACAAAATCAATGGAAAAATAAATCCTAAAAAAAGGGACATAAAGAAGATCACAGTAAAGGAAAGAGAAATAAAAATGTCATAGAAGAAACTGAAAAATTATTGAAAGAGAAGCAGGTGAAAACAGATCTGATTAAATTAATTTGTACTGATTATTCAAGATTTGCTCAGTGAATAAGCAATTCTTCATGGTCAAGTCTTTAAAAGGTCTGACTTAAGCTCTAAGGAATTCTTAGGCAAGGATAAAAAAAAACAGATATAGATTAACTTTTTTTTTAAAGACTAATTCTTCAAAACATCATAAGAAGTAGCATTTAATAAAGCAAGAGGATGGCATTGTGACAATGTCAGAGCAAATGAATTTGATAGAGTAGCTGATCTTGAAACAAATTTTAGCTCATTTATAGAGGATTCTTCTCTTACTATGGATTCCTGTATCTAATGCTCTGGGAAGTTCATCAGAAAAAAATGGCCTGTCCATCCTATGGCAATAACCACTGAAGCAGGATTTGCTACTGTAATATTCATGTACTTAGCCATGGACTGGATAACAGGGACAGCTCTGATGGATTCACTACTTTAACTCTCTTTCTATTCTACAAGTCTCACAGCATGCTGGAATACAAAAAATTCCAAGTTTATCTGAATAGAGATAGATATCATGAACCTGTAAATGAAGACACTTCTTTCTAACAATACGAGATTTATGTGTCTTTACAAAACACAGTCACGTAGCCAGCAAAACTTTCTGTGATTAGGCAGGAAGTAGCAGGATTTATTCCAACAAATAGTCTAACTGAATCAGCTCTAAGCATTTATCTTGCTGCTTAAGGGTTATAATGTGCTTGTACTACAAAATAAGTACTTATGAGCCAATACCATAAGAAAATATAAACAGATATAAGGTTTCAAAAGCTGTCTTGACATGCTCTGTTAGCAGATTTATGAAAATTTTATGTTCTTGAGGGTCCTTACTGAAAACTTTTCCTTCTTTCAGCTTCATTCAAGGCTTACACGCTTGTTTACTCTATGGAGATAAAACTGGAGGAATTAATATGCATTTTTATTAAATTTTAGGCTGTGCTTTTCCTGGGTTGGCTGCATGACCCTGTTATGTGAAATAACTCCAGTAAATTTATATTTACTGCATTTTCATTTTGTTACCATTTACAGCTCATAAAAAAAACAACCCTAGAATAACTTCTTCTATCCTTTCATTGTATTTTTTATTTTAAATTTATTTTTATTTAAAGGAGCAAGGTACTGTAAATTAATTACTAAGACAGCTACCACTATGTAACAGTATGAAACTGTTAATGACATCTTAAAGATCTTATGGTCAAGCAAATCACTCTGAGAATGTGTTTAGGCTCCGAAGCCTTTCCAGTGATTTCCAACCACCGTGTTTTGCAAACGTCCATTTCAGGTGTTACGTAGCTTTTAGAGTTATAGGGATGCCATGAGGAAAAAAGTATACAACACTTTTCAGTATGTAGTTCAACAGTGAAAATTACCTACCTTATTTCTTACTGGGATAATGAGAGGTTAGTCAGTCCTGCTGCATGGCTTAACAGAAGAAAACACTTGCAATAAAATGCAATAAAAAGGTGAAATGGAGAAATATGGAGAGGAAAAATATGTTTTCAAGACTGATTAGGCAAGAAAGACAAAGTTTTTCTATATGGCAGAAGTATAGAATGAGCCTCTGTCACCCCACAGGAAAATCTTTGGGAAAATCTGGAGAGTGCACATGTGTTAAGAATATATGCAAGTGATGATCAAGAAAAGTTATTAAAAGTCTTAATTTAAAATAAATTAATAAACTGTACTTAAACATTTCTATTGATATCTTCCTTCATAACTAAGTGGCCTTAATTCAATTTAGCTGAATTCATTTATAAATTAATTCAATTCAGCTGAAATGAGTCAAAACTGATGCCGGATAAGGGTACCTACTTAAGAGTTTCACTTAAACACATTCAAAATTCATTCAGATTAATCTTCCTCAAAACCATTAAACTTTTTACAAAGAGAACTGAAGAAATGATGCATGGAGTGACACGAGAAGCTGTTAGCTCTAAAACTGTTAGCTCTAAAACAGCATCTTCAGCAGAAGAACTTACTATTTTTTAACACATTTTTAGGCATTGTTTCAAAGTTCATGCATTATTTCAATATATACATATTGAAACCTACAGAGAACATAGGCTTGTGCTCTTTCAAACCCTTTGAACTATTAAGTAAAATGGAGTTGGTACCACTATTTCTTTTTTGCAAATGATCATGGTATGCTTTCATACCAGTACAAAAGAATGTACTAGCAAAGCTAATGACACAACAGGAGAAGGAGTTCTAGTCCTAGAAGAGTTTTCCTACACTTTTTTCTTCTTCATAGTCACAAGAAGACATCACCACAGCTGTATGTGAAATCTGTTCCTTTCTTGCACTCATGATGTTTAATTTAGTGTCCTAAAGTTTTGAACCTCACTCCAGTCCTTGTTCACTGAGCTGAATAAACATCTCCTCCTTGACTTCTCAGGTTATATAACAACTTCACATGACACATCTGCACATAATGCCTACAGAAGGTATATTTTTTTTTTTATTATTCTCCTGCCATTTTCCAGTTGCAAAAGACCCGTTTAAAGGAAGTTTATTCTCAGACCCTAATAACTATTACTTCCATTATTTGGAATGAAATATAAGACAAACCAATTTTACTGTTGTATCACTTTCAAGGATACTGAGAAATCAGCAAATACATGCTAGCTCTTACTGACTGTATAAACACTCCTGAAAAGAGAAGGCATATTGGAAAGAAAATCAAACATCATCTTGATACCTTATTCTTCCCAGTGGTAATAGTATTTCAGAAGACGTGGGATTGCCAGGGCACATCTACTACTTAAGCAACTAGTACTAGCATAAAGCAGAACAAATACATTACCATATCAAGAATGAGCAGATGATTAGATGCAACTGGTTACCAGTTCATGCTTATAGTGTCTCAGCATGTACTGAATTATCTTACTTTCACTGATTATTTAAGTTTGACCTATATTAAAGTATCCCTGAGCCTAGTGCTATGTGAAAAAGATAACCTTTTAGTGCTTTTCAAATGAAGATACAAAGTACTGCCCTAGTCACTTCATGTTAACCTTTTTCTTCTTAGATAAGTGCTAACAAACTGGGTATTTCCAGGAATACAGATTGCTAGTTAAAATAAACACAGATTTCAGTGAACTCATTTCACTGGGATTATACAATGGTAATCAGGCCCAAATAGTATAGAATGAGGTTTTCTAAGTATTTATTGCAGATAGTCAGTTATCAGTAAATTTTAACATCCACTGCCAGTTTTCAACTATGTCCAGAGTGATGGTCCACACTTTACTGAATTCCCAAAAAACAAAACACTGAGAAGCGCTGTACCAAAAGGTATCCAGTGAGTCTGATCCTCTTTGAAAGTTCCTCACAGAAACTCTAGCAATTGCACTGTGAAGGACAACTTAATGTTGAAGCTTGGCTATGCCATTTGATTTGATTTGTTATTTTACATCATTACAATGAACTCTAAGGGTGAGATGCACTGTATTTAAATATATTCCTGTTGGACATTTACTTACTACAGACTTCATTTAAATCAGACATGAAATTTCTGAAAAGCAAGGATTAAAATATAGATGGCAAATCAATCAATTACACTGAAAGTCCACAGAGACTGAAAACCATAGTTCTGGTGAAAAGGAGCTATTAAAACAGGAATATACATTTAATCCTATTTTATGTGGAAATTAAGAATGTACACATTTAAATGATCAGTGCCACTTAAATAGTATATTTGATATTCTGTGGCATATCTGTAGGTGACTGATATCATCAGAAGTGCAGCAATAAATGGTGAAGAAACACAACATAGCTGTAAATAACTCTTCAGTTCAATGACTTTGATAATTATATGCAACTTTGCTAGACTATATTTAGTAAGACTTTTGAATCTGTTAAGACACTTTACACAGCACTGATCAAAGGGAGCTTCTGAAATACAGGAGGCTTTCTGTAATATAATGTCACAGAAAAGTGATCTTTTTCTTTAAGTGTCACGTCCGAAGCTTACTCTTTTTCTTTTAAGAGTAGCAGCATATGCCGGTCAGTGAAGCATACACTACACAGCTGTTACATCTACTGTATGACCTGCACATACCAAATTAGTCATTGTGTTTTGCAATTCTGGTTCATCAGAGTTTTGGTCTGAGGAGCTTTAATCTAAATTTAGGAAAAGAATACAATTCATTGTTATCTATCCATAATTCATAGTCTCCAGCCTGTTTTGGTCTAGAACAACCGGCCAACTTTTTTTCTCCCTCTTTTTTCTTCTAAGCAGTAATGCAGGATGTATGAAGAAAATTCTAGCACAAGGATTAATGGCAGAAAACCTCCAGGACTGCACTTTGATACTTAATGAATATGCAATTCCGTGCATACAGAGAGGACATTAACAGACTTTTCAACAATCGTCATCACTCCTCAGGTTTGTACATTTCCATTCTTATTACATTAAGAGCGATTTCTACATACAAGAACAAATATAATAAAATTGAGTGAATAAATAAACCCAAGTGTGGTACTTTTAAGACCTAAAACATTAAGTTTTAAAAGTTTTGATTTTTTTTCCAAAAAAAGGGACCAATTTCACATCCTGACAAGCTTCATGTATTGCCTGGATACAGTCTGTTGCTGAGGAAATCCATAAGGACAAAAGGCGCATGTAAGAGAGACGTACTTGTTGGTCTCCCAAAGCTTCTAGCCTATTAGACTCCTACCAGAGGTAAGAAACAAGTCTAAATTGAGTTTTGCACTGACCATTGCAGCTTTTCTTGTATTCCTACATTCAACACTTTTCGCTAGCATTTGAAACAATGTTAGATTCAAGTTTGTTACTGAAGTACTGAATATTTCTAGCCATTTTAAGTACAACTGCAATTTCTGATTAGTTATTTTTTTAAATTACTTTTTAGTCACTCATTGATACGAACAGAAGAAAGTGGTACAAGGCCTGGATGAATAGTCATTTAAACCCTTTTGGTTTTCTCAAGTTCATTAAGGAAATGTCTACGTTTCATCATGAAGTTCTCTCAGAAACAAAGGAAAGTTGTCTATGAGTTTGATTCACTGCAAAGAGATCGTGAAGCAAATTAACTTCATTTAGAATGGCTGTCTGTGTACGAAGTCAAACAATATCTACATAAACTTCCTTTCTCTGTAAAGCAGAGCTTAAGTGCTTCATTAAAAACTAATCTGGCATTAAAACCAGTAAGTTCCTTCACAATTTGCAAACTCAATTAACATTAGTAAGTTCCTTTGCTGACAATGTGGGAGAAAATAACAATAATTTAGAATAATGAATTAATTCTTATGTAGCACTACGGAATTTTGAAAATGGGATTTTTATAACTCACAGTCAGGAACTTATGGTATGATCCCATATGTTCTCTCCAGGTCTGAATGTATTATATTCAATTACAGCTCAACTAATTTACAAGCTTTCCTAGATATATATTATGCCAACCATACATTAATCAATAATGAAGAAAGAGTTCCCAGTATAAAGATGAATCAGTAAATCCTTCAACTCAAAGAAGAAATGTTAGATTTCTACTAGTATCTACTTTTATTTGAAGTAACAAAGAAATCAAGGTTGAATTCCTTCTCCCAGCTAAGCTCACCAAAACCACAGAAACAGCACTCTGTCCAATGAAATAATTTCTTCATGAACAGCAAACAGCAAGGCAATATTGGCAGCAATATTGTATCTGAAATTTCACCTCCTGTGTCACAGAGACAGTTCTGAACCATACTAGTCTTTTCACACATCAACTCACTGGTATAGTCATCTCTTCATTAGTTCCTTTAAAAGAAGTATTCCACATAATTGCACCCTTAGGTCTACCCTGTGTCTCGAATACAGAGGAAACATACACAGTTCTGGGATGGAAAACTTGTATTCCACTGCTGACTTCCACTGCATATTCAGTAATGACTACCTCTATCTGGCTATATATAGTCTCTGGAAAACTCCTACAATATAGCAATTACAGCATCCTAACTACCACATAGAAGATCACACAGATTAATTCCTCTACATCCACAAAACCAAAAACCACTCAAAAATCTTTGATACGTGACCTCATATACTGCTGCATTAAGAGGAGTTCCAGTCGACATGGTCACTTTCATAAGGAAAAAGACATTACATTTCAATGACACCTCTATGCCATTTGCAGGGTTTGAATCCTCCAAAGGAACCTCCTCATCTCTGTGCTGCTGGCCATTTCCTGTGATTATCACACACAGCTGGAAAATCAGGAAACAATTAGAGTTCCTAGGTGAAGAACTCACATTCAGAAAAAAAAAAAATCCAGCCATATCATCTCCTAATAATCAAAGCAATCTATTTACTGAACCCTTTATCATCATCAGTGGTCCAACAAAAGCCAGCAAACCAACACTGAAAAGACTAAAAAAAAAAGAAAAAGGAACTACTTCTAAACACACTTCTACAGTTACTAAAGTTAATCATTTAGAAATTGGAAATGCCTTCTGTAACAACAAAAATAGGTATCAATCAATTATCTAAGCAACCATGTGGTGAAAAGATTTTGAGAATCAAAATGTAATTATTTAATGGATGTTGATGCATGTTTGTTGGATAGCATCAATCAACCTCTGAGAAAATAAAATAAACTTCAGAAAGAAGAGGTTAGAAAAGAGTAGTCAAAAATATTTAACTTACACAGAGTTCTGTAAAAATGTGAAAAGTTTATAATTTATGCAGTAAGAAAATTATGAGTATTTTATTTTATATAGTGAGAAGACTGGGGTTTAAGTCCTCAGAAGTCAAAGCAAAACTGGGACTTGCACGTTTACTCAGCATTGTACTTGTTCATTATTACCTTCGTACCATTAAATTAACTTAAAATATGTTCCCACAACTAATGTACTGTGTTAATAACTGTTACAGTGTCAACGCGTTTTTGTTACGTGATTTATCTTAATTAGAGTCCAAACTATTATTTAACAGCAGAATGCACATGAAGGAGTCTGATAGTTTATAAGAAGGACACTAATCTTATAATGCCCTTTGGGAACTCCCAAAGAGAACTTTCCTGTAACAAGAGCAATGGTGCTGAAAATCAGTCTTTTACCCAACCATTGTGGATTACAGTGTGACAACACATCTCTCAGATACCTATTGACAGCACATATAAAATCAATATGATTCATGTGCTCAGGAACAGAAGCTTGTTTCACAAGAAAGCAAATGTGAGTCCAAGTAACAGAATTTATATCAAATGCAAACTGCCGTCTCCAATAGTCTTTTTGTCCTTATATTTATTCTCTTCAAGCTATTCAGAATTCTTTTCACTCCAGATATATGTTTGGACTTCTAACTGTACCTAACATTACAGGAGTATGACTAAGTGGCTAAACAACTTTAAGTTTTAAACATAATACATGTTTCTGAAACAGCAATGAAATTCAGAAAACACTTCCAGATGACTGATGTTATTTGCAGATTTAGCTTCTTATTTGCTAAAATAGAATTGGCAAAGAACATCATAAAAACACCAAAAGGACAGGAGCTTGTAATGACACATTTTAAAGTTTATTCTAAGCACCTATGAAACAGAAAAAAGTGCTTTTTCCATATCTAGTACTCAGTGTACAATCTAAATCGACCTGCAACCAAGTTAATGTCTGCACAGAAAATACTAGTTTATGTATCATACTGCTGGATGGTTTTACTTATTTTAAATTTTATGTTAAAACAAGGGTTCCATGGCTGTAATAAGAGAGATACCTACAGCTACTTTTTGATACTTCATAGATATTACATCTAAGAATAAGGAAGAATCTAAAACAAAAAATTGAAATGCAAAAATTATAATGAATGTGATTATTTAGAATATTGAATAAATAGATACTGTATGTCTTGATAGATTCTAAATCACAATAAAAACCAGCACAGAACTAAATTAAGACTACATTTAAAAGATTTTTTTAAAAGTAGAATAAATATAAAAGTATGAAGAAGGTAAAATATAATAAACTTTAAAATGCCTGCATCATGTAAGATATACCTTTGTGACAGTACCCACAACCTACTCATGGAGAAAGGAGAAACAGTCCTAGATTAGTGACTGTAAAATCAATTTATAGAATTTACACCCAAGCAAACTTTCTTGTATGTTCCCAGAGAAAATTTTCCAATTAATATATTATCCAAGAGAAGAAGAACAAAATGCTTTGGCCACTAAGATACACAGAGAAAAGAATAGAGAAAAGAGAAAAATGGGCAAAAAATTTTTCCCAAAGGAAAGGGAACAGGGTAAATTCTGATGCGTAACATGAAATGTCTTGACCTGGATCTTTAATCTTGACATGTTTGCAAAATATTTTACAACTATGTCAAGATTAAACAAAAATATTATGAATTAAAAATAGGCTTTGATGTATGTATTCCAGCATTGAGCCTAGTGTCTTGCTGTAATATGCCATACCTACGAACTGAGAAACTAATTTTTTGTTTGCTGATTTCCTGCTTCACTTGGCAGTATTTTCTTTATTGAATGCTTTCTGCAGTTGTAAAAATTAAAGAATTAGAAAAAAAAAAAAAAAGAAAAATTATAATCTGGTACTAATCTGCATGATACAGACATAACTCAAAATTCATCATATTTGATGAATAAAGTGCTGCAATGCTCTCTAGGAAGCAACATGTGCTGGGAAATAGGAGGCAATCATGATGAAAATGATGATGCCAATTCATGCTACATTCATGATGCCTATCAACCTACTAGTTATTACATGGTAGAAAAAAGAAAACAACCAAATTACCCTAAAGATATACTGTGACACACTGTAGTATAATGGTATTTTGTTGAGTATGTTGGATGGTATTTTCTTAATATGATGTATGTGGCTATGGAATATTTCAAGTGAATCTTCTCAACAGGAGACTGAAAAACAACTGTGCAATTTTTTAATGTAGAAAGAAATGAAAGAAGATCTGGAGTGGAGAATATCTAATATGATAGACTGAACTAGAAATATCAAAAAGAGTCATCTTCAGTGCAAGTTGCAGGAAGTATACTCACTTGTATTACATTTTCCACAAATTTTGAACATTATTTGAATTCCAAGTTTCCTTAGCTCATCTCTACATATTGAAAAAATTCTGTACACATGCATCCTGAACATGGAAAAATGTATCTTAAATGCATAAGCAACTCAATGAAATTATTAGCAATAATTTTCCCCTTCACAATTCCTCTTTGTGTTTTTAATTCTGTGCTTTACCCTACCCTCTTCGCACTTGGAAATCTTTGCACGAAGTTGTTTTCAGCACTTCTGGAAATTTTACCTATGCATTTACTACTATGTATACAATATATCTATGTTCCTACAATTAAAATTTATTTTCTGCAAGACAAAAAGCCTTTTCTTGCATGGATTGTGTACTTTCCAGTACATACCTGAGACAAGAACGTTTCTAAAATTGTATAATGTCTCAATTTGGTATAAGCAAGTAATCACAGGATTTTGTCAAAGCACTTTAGAATTTGTTTTTGTAGTTAGCATGTCTGGTACCAATTTAACTTTTAACATTTTATCACTTGGACATCACCTGTAATACAACCTGACAAATCAAAAGGTCAGTCTGGCTCAGGGCACAGAAGAAATAAATAGAATTGAAAAGTTAAATGGAATGCATGGAGACTATTATGAGGCATTCCAATTTCAGAAGTCAGGGATTACATAAGAAATATGTATTACTGAAATTTCAAATCTTCACTTCCAATTAATTTGTGTGTCAGGAGAATAGAGGAGTAGACTTTTCATTTGACAAGCATTCTCAACGAATCTGAAACTGTAAATTATGCTAATAAAATACTTTCCTTAAAGTTGAAGCAAAAAATACTGAATCTACAGTTCCCTATAAACTAAACATTTCATTACCAGGGTACAGGAAGTTTGAAGGTTCATTCTACATTGAAGCAATTTTATTGAGTCAGAGGAAGGTTTACAAGTGATTACCTTTGCACACTGGAGATACTCTGCAGGATCAGGCTGGAATAGAGATTAGGTTCAAAGTATGCTCCAGGTCTGATATCAAATGGGAACCAGGCACCGGATTCATACTGAATAGTACTAAAATTTCATAAACTATTCTCACATTCAAATGCTACAACAGCCTTGTTGATGCGTCATTGTTGTACCATTATCGCAATATTCTTAGACCACAGACAGTTCACGGGATAAAACTGTGCCTCAGGAGCAAAGAACCCTGTGATGGAATCTCAGTCTGGAGTCCCATACTGGGAAGATCCCCTTAAGCCTACTTTAACAGAGAAGAAAACAACTACTTTGTCGAAATACATGCTACTGTACCAAGAACACAGAATATGTATCTGAGCCTTTTCTTTCCATCCAGTAGAGTACAGTCAGGCAGATAAAGCCTCCTGCTAACAGCATCAGTGGGATATAAGAGAAGGGAGTCGGGTCTAAATCCTATCAGACGCAACTTCTGATCTGCAATAGTCATAAATGATTCTCTTCAGACTTGCAACTAGTTACAGAGTCAGAACTAGGTATAAAGATAAAAATTTGAGCATCAAACTGCAATAATAATTTGCTTTAGGGCATCTGAAAACACTGCAAGTTAGTCTATAAAAGATCTACCACATATTTGAACCACAGGGAAGTACAGATATATTTTAACAGCTGTCTCCTAAACTTCCCTGAATGGTGGATCTCTTTCAGTTCCTTCTAAATTACTTAATTTTCAAAGTCTATTCTTTTAAAACTGTTTTTTACTTATTTATTTAAATTTTGATATTTCTTAAGCTTTTTGGGGCTTTCATCCCATAATAACCAGATAAGGCTAAGTTATGTACCAAAAACCACTGACTAAATTAGCATCAATTTCCTACCATTGTCAGGAAATATCATTATAGGTAAACTACCAAAGCTTTGATTGCATTAACAAGACAGTTTATGCTCATCTATTACAGCCTTCCCCTATCAACTGACCAGGGTTTGCTCCATGAGTATTCACTTTTTTAATTGATTAGTGCAATTTGTTAACCACAGACGACATAAACTATTGTTTATGTTTAGTGTGCAGATGATGTTTAAGGAAGGCTACACTATTTACCCAAAAATATGTAAACATTCTCTTTTAAAAAGCTTTTTAAGCAATTTTTCACATTTTGATTAGAAGCAAACTAAATTTGTGATTATCATTTGTACTTAGTTATTTTAATTAGATTTTTTTCCTCTTCCTCATCATTAATTGTATGCTAAATAGAGGAAAATTCTAAGAATAAGCTCAGCATCTAAGATGAAGTTCCAAAGGTCAGATATAATAAAAGAAGCAATTCTGACCTCCATCACAAATTCTCTATTTTCCTAAACTTTGCATAGCACAGTCAAGGAGGTTTACTGTTTACCTCCACTGAACAAATATAGAAATAATTTTACTAGCGGATGATGATGATAAAAAATCCCATATTCTGTTATCGGTTAGAATTCTACATATCATTGCATACAGTGAAGAAATGTAACTAATTTCAGAATGAATTAAAGGAGCGCTTAGCCTAAAAGTTTCAGAGAACAACAGTGCACAAAATTTGCTTTACAGGATTAAGTTAAAGGAATATATTCAGTCTGTTTATTCCCATATCACATTTAAAACCTGAGTGCACCTTAGTGTTAAAATCTAAATCCATATAACTAACATTTAGCTAAATCTATAATCTCCTGTATTCTGCTGTTACAATAGTTGCAAATTCATATACAGGTGATAACTAATGATCCACCTAATAAAGTCACTTCTGTCAGAATATGTCACAAACTTCAAAAATTGCTTTGCATGGTAACAAGCTTACTTCCTCCTAGCTTCTTTCTTTATGTTATCAGTAGCATTTCCCTTTTGTATATTGTTTAAAGTCAGACAAGTTCAAAGCACACAAGGAAAGATTTTACTGAGGTCATTAAATTGTGACAATCTGATGACATTTTAGAAAGGCTTCAAATAAGTGTTCGAACTCACTCTACATATTTGACACATGAATGCTGATAGAAGAGATGGGAAATTTGCACTTATGGTAGGATTCTTTGTAACAGGAGAGATAAACCAGTGCTTGACCATCCAAGTATAAAGAGAATAATTTACTAGAAGTGTTGGTACTCAGTTTCTGGAGTACAAGAGATATTGGTAGAGCTGATAAAGAAAGCTTTCCAGTTCAGGTAGTCCCATGAATATTTCTGTGTCAATAATACTACAGTATATGCCAAAGAGTTCCAGTGTTGCTTCTTGCAGAAATCTTTTAACTTGTAGATCCCTGACATTTGGGTTTCATCTTATGGATGGCAAACTGACTTCTTTTCAGAGACAGTCTCTTTTCAGAATTTCTCTTTCATATAGATAGATACGTTAGCAGTGTCCACAGAAAAAAAAATGAATTCCATTGAAAGAAACAAATATAATGTACTCTTCCATTATTAAGATGATTCCTTTTAGCAGAAGACCCTGAGAATGCAAACTACCATATCACCGACTGCATAGTCAAGAGAGATAAAAATGCACTAAAGAGGAAATAACTTCAATCAAAATACTTCCAAATTCCATAAACTAGCATCAAAAAAGCATTATTTTTTCATAGTAAATATTTCAAGAAATAAGCCTATTAAAATGAGATTCAGCTGAAGGATAACAAAAATTCAACACTGTAATACTTAAATTTAATAACACGCTCGGCCAAATACAAAATTCCATTTCCTGCAAGATCAAAATTTAATTGTTCCACTTCATTATTTGATAACAGTGCATTTTATTAAAAGGTTTATTTATTATTTTCTTCAGCTACTACTCAAAAACTTGAGCATAACACTCTCCCTCAGTAAAAAGATGATAGTGCAATATTATTTAGTGGAAGTCAAGGTTATTTCTCTAAAAAATACATCTTTTTAATGCAAAATCCCCTGAGAGTGCCTCACTAAAACAAATACTTCTGCATCACTTTAAAGAGGTTGCTTACAAATAGAAAAGTTTTCAAAACTAGACCCAGAGATAAAAACAAGGCAATTACTCATTCCTATTCACAACCTGCACTCTGTCTTATATTAATGGCATATCCATTAGCACAACAATATATGTGACACCCAATACACCAGTTTAGGTCCACTTACATGTTGAAATTATTAACCACTTTACAATATTAACAACACATAAAATATGCATTTTACAAATCAGTATTCTGCCTAAAGGTACTAATGAAAACATGCTGAAGTAGGTAACTTGTATTCAGAATCATACTGACTTACCCTGGTAGAAGAATTCACCAAAGAACCATTCAGATTGCCAGTGTTGCACTTGAAATTCAAATACAGATCAGGATGGTGATTTGCTTCCCATCTTCCCAACTCAGGCATCGCTGCCTTGTCAGAATTTGCAGATACTTTTTGGAAGGCAGTGCAAGTCATTCCCGTGAAACTAGATGGCTTGATCATAAAGGCTTCCAGCGCAATATTACGAGATACCTGTGAGAACATTGAGAACAGTTATGTCATAAAGAAATCAGCCATAATTGCGTTACTCTACATGCATTGTGTATTTACTGCATTACTTTATAGCTGATTGTGCACATATAGACTTCTATATAAATTCATGGGGTGAAAAAGAAAACAGAATTTATTTAAAAATAGGATATAGAATTGTACAACAGCATAGTGGGTTTGCTTAAATCTTCCTTCCATAGGACTGTATCAGTTTTAGTTACTATTATATCAGTTTTGCAATTGTGTCATTATTAACCTCAATGGAATCTGGAATTAAAGTAATACAGTTATAAAAAGAACTAGAGACAGCAGGTGTAAGAATTATTTAAAAAAATGACCAAGGATGTGGTTTCTACCCCAGAAATGAAACAGAAACCTTAGCTATTTAGAGGTGTAATTTTTTTTTTAATAGATCACATTTTATTATGATATTGAACATGACTATGTGGTTCAAGGCAAGACCATGTTACAGGTAGGTTTGTGGCCTACTCTTTGACAAGGTGAATTGCCTACATGGAGGTTGTAGCAGAGTGCAGATGTGCATCTCTATCCTTACACTCGTACTAGGTTGATTAGCTTAGACTGGTACCACACCAATAGAACTATAAGGTTTCTGCTTCCAGGCATAGATTGTTCAGTAATCTGTGAGCGTATGTATTTTACATATTGACTGCAATATAAAGATACCTGAGTTAAGCCACACAAACCAGCAACTTTCGCAGACAGGTAAGTGTACCAATGGAGCAGATTCACATTACTGTACTTGCTTCTGTTATACTTATTAAAAACAGGTGTGAATCCTTCAGAATTTAGCACATTTTGCTGACAAGAAATGACATCGCTGAAGAAAACAGCATTAAT